CCAAGGCATGATGAAGGTAAGGACCCTGCTCTAGTTGATCCCAGAATTCAGAACCACTCATGCTCTGAGGGGGCTTCACCTGTCGGCAGCTCCAGCCCCTCCTTCCACCCTCAGGGCATCTGAGGTCAGCGTGCAGGTGTGCGAGTCCTCCCTGCTCCCAGGGAGCCCAGAAATGAGAGCTGAATGATGAGAGGAGGGAGCGAATCCTGACAAGGTGCTCCTCAGCCAGCCCCGAGGCCCAGCGCCCTCCAGCCCCTACCTCAGCAGCCTTATCCCCCACCTCTGTAGGTAAAATGTTTGTGTCCCCTCAAAACTCATGTTGAAATCAATGTGATGGTATTTGGGAGGGGGCCTTTCGGAGGTGATTAGGGCACGAAGTGTAGCCTTCACGAATGAGATTAGTGTCCTTACAAAAGAGGCTCCGGAGGGCTCCCTTACCCCTTCTGCCAGGTGAGGACACAGCCGCCTATGAGCCCTCACCTGACACCAAATCTGCCAGCACCTTGATCTTGCACTTCCCAGTCTCTAGAACTGTGACAAATAAATGTCCACAAGCCACCTAATTTATGGTATTTTGCTACAGCAGCCTAAATGGACTGAGATACCCGCCATCTCACCCCACCTTCCCATGTTCATTCATTCATTCAGTTACCTGCTCGACATGTACTTGTGGAACACCCACCACTGGCTACTCACAGTTCTAGCTTTAGGAATACAGCAATGAATATATATATATGCCTAATATGCCAAGTGTCCCCTTGGGAGTTCGACCTACCTGGAGTTCAATCACTCGCTATGACGTGCACTGACCACCAGGGGACAGCACGGAACGAAGAAAGGCCCCACCGGCACTTGGCAGCCAGGGAAGGGAGGCCCGGGCTGGCAGCCAGTAAGGGACCTACCCATGCACGAATTTCATGCACTGGGCCTCTAGTATTAACATATAACATCAAGTAGCGACAAACGCTATAAAGAAAAATAAAGCAGGGCAGCACGATTCAGACTGCCATCCACCCCACTGCAGGGAGGTCTTGGTACCAACAGGAAGGAAGTGCGGGAGCCA